TAGGTCTATGGATGAGGATCATCCCATTCAGAAGCAACAGCCAATGTAAAAGCTAAGAATGCTGCTTTCAACTGTGAGGTAGCTACTGTATAGGTGAATGGGGCAGAATATGCTACAGGGGATGGGAGTTAGTAGGGCACATGATGCAGGGCTACCTATACCATTCTATGAACTTTTGAGTAAAGGGAAAGTGGCTGAGCAGTGTTTTGCATGAAAGAATGACTAGATATGGCGTGCTTTAAAAATGATCCTTAGCCAGTGGCATACACTATAATCCCAGCACTTTGGAGGCTGGGGCAGGACAAGAATTTGATATTGAAGTTAATTTAGGTTACCTATATGTCTCAAATGAGGGAAAAAAAGGATTATTTTTCTTATGCAGCCCAGGATAGTCTAGAAATAAGTATATAGATGACTTTGAACTTCCAATCCTCCTGCCTCTACCTCCAAAGTGCTGAGAGTATAAGCATATGCCAGCACCTCTGGCTTAAGGAAAGAAAATCCGGTAAAACTGTACAGTAGACAGAAAAAGATAATGTAGTCTCCACATTGGGGCATTATAGGTAATGGTGAGGCAAGCAAGCATATGGATAGTTACACATCTTTCCCAACAAAGCACTTAGCAACCTGGGACCCCCGCCTGCATCAAGGTACACACACAGCCCTCTTCAGAGCAGTAGCTCCAACAAATAGCTCCCCAGCAATCCTTTATAATTCTTTTGTGGTCAAAGGCATGTCCTGAAATCAGGAAATGGCTGATCCAAACTTCACTGGTGTTGGGTGCATGTGCAGTAACAAAAACTGTGTCTCTTATTATAGAAAACACCATATTTGCTATCTTATGCCTATGCTTGATAGCTTATGTATATAGTCAAAACTAGATACCCTGTGGTTTTAGAACATGCACTATGGACAAAGGCTTATATAACCCATACTTCACAATCGAAACAAGAAACTTTGAGACTGAGGATGTACCTCAGTGTGTAAGAACACTTGCTGTACAAGCTTAAGGACCAGAGTTTGAATTCCCAGCACTCAAGTCAAATGCTGGAGGTGGCCACATGTCTAGAACTCCAGTGCTGTTGGGGGTGGGAATAGAATGATAATGGGGCTTGCTAACTGCCAACCTACCTCCAGGTTCACTGAGAGACGCTGTTTCAAGGGAATACAGCAAAAAAGGATACCTGAAGTCCTCCCTTGGCTCCTTCACACAGGCATATGTGCACAAACAAGCCCTCTCTCTCTCTCTCTCTCTCTCTCTCTCTCTCTCTCTCTCTCTCACACACACACACACACACACACACACACACACACACACACCAAAAAGTCCCTTTCCCTTTAATAACCAACTGCTCTTCCTCTTGAACCCATAAAGAAAACCCTACACAGTGACCAGACACATCTTGAGCTGGCTGCCTGCTTGCTCAGGACCCTAACTTGCTGTATATGTAATTTGTGCTTTTTACTTTGCCTCTGAATAAGATCTCTCTTTGTGTATGCTTTTTTTTAAATCCTTTGAACAAAATGCCAAAACCCTGAAAACATTGGGACTCTAGAGAAACCACTAATAAAGTACTTGGTGACCCCCAACCAGAAGAGAATAAATCCTCTCTGTCTCACTGATGCAGATTTCCCTCATACATTCTCCAGTCCCTTTCCAACCTGATGCCTATAGTTGTGCATGGTAGCTGTCAGAGAGCTGTCACTCTTCAGCCTCCCCATATGTCTGGTTGATGAAGAACAGGTACCAGTGGCTGAATGGCCCCTCAAAGCTCTTTCACCAGGACAGTAAAGAGTCTGACAGGCACCTTCCTAGCCAGGGTTTGAAACAGACTCACAGTCAACCAAATAAATTCAGTATGATTTTGAGGCAGAATAGAGATGTAAAGAGGTAGAGTTTCCTGCCTCATTCCAGTATTGCTTTTGTTCCCTGGTGTGAAACCAAAGTTTGCTACCATTTGGATTTGTTTTTTTGTTTGTTTGTTTTGTTTTTGAAACATGATCTCAATATATAGCTCTGGATGTCTTGGGACTCACAGTGATTTTGCTGTTTCTGCCTTCTGAATGCCGGGATTAAAGGCACGCACCACCACACCTGACCCACCACTTGGATTGTTTTTTAAATAATTTGTATGCCTGTATGTGTGGAAGTCAAAAGACAGCTTTCCCAGGAGTCTGTTCTTTCACCTTGTTTTTGAAACAGAATCTCTTGGGTTTTTTTGTTTGTTTGTTTGTTTGTTTGTTTGTTTTCTGCTGCTACACTATAAACTTGAGCTTCTGGTCAATTCTGTCTCTACCTCCCATCTCACCATAGCAAAGTAGAGGTGGGGATTACAGACTCCGGGAAACTCAAGTCATCTGGCTTTTGTGGGTTTTGTGTGTTGTGGGACTCTAACCCAGGTCGTCAGGGTTGTACAACAAGCGCTTTACCTAGTGAACCATCTTTCCAGCTCTGCCACTTAGATTTAAAACTTTTCCTTCTTCTTTCCTTTTCTTCTAGCCTTTTCTTTGATCCCATTTGTGTCTGGATTTCAGAGTGTACCAGGCTTACAGGAGCTGACCAAGGTGGTAGGGAACTTTGATAATTGCTCTGAGGGGGGACGGGTTAGGGGGAGTGGAGATGGTGAAGCTATTCCTGGAACTCAATAACTGAAAACATAACTTCCTATCTTATTTAGCTTTTCGTAGATGAATTATGTGCTTAACTGCAGAGACAAGCAGAGAACCCAGAGGAAAAGAAACAAATCCACATGTCAATGAGGCCATTGTTTGGACAGTTGTAGCCATAGAGAACCTCCCTCCAGCTCTCATTCAGGCAGTTAGCCAGCAAACTTGTCAGCACCTTTCCCAAGAAATGTTTGGATTCTAGAAATAAGTACAAGGAAGAACACATGGGGTTTCCTAATGGCCTGTGAGATTTTAAAAAAAAAAAAATGTTCTCAGGACCCAAAGGACCAGAGGTGGATCTGAAGTGAAAGCCTCATTCTTGAGGACTAGCTTTTATGGTACCAGAAGGTACCATGCAAGCTTCCGAAGCAGGGGAGCAACTGATAATTCTACCTACTATGATGCCTATGAGCCATAACAATGATCAGAATGTCATGTATATCTTGGTAGTAACCAATAACTCTCTAATTGTACTTAAGGTCCTCTCAGCAAGAGGGAAACCATGCCTGGTACTGGAAACCCAGCCTACCCAGGGCTAGTGAAGTCATGGACCTTGAAGGAGAACCTGAATCCTCCACCTTACTAAACCAACATAATCTCTAACTACATCCTTATATCCACAGATAAGTGTAATTCTTGGTGCTTATCAAGGAAAGTGTTTGTAACAGGTGGACATCATTCCAGACAAACACAACCATCAAAATGCAGAGTTGTGAAGCCAGGTCCCAGGTGATACATTTATAACTTCATCTAAAGTTTAAGGATTAAGGAGCTGGAGAGATGGCTCAGAAGTTAAGAGCACTGGCTGTTCTTCCAGAGGTCCTGAGTTCAATTCCCAGCAACCACATGAGGGCTCACAACCTTCCGAAATGAGATCTGGTGCCCTCTTCTGGCCTACACTGTGTACATAATAAATAAATAAATCTTAAAAAAAAAAAAAAAAAAAAAAAAAGGGACGGGGGGGGGGGAGAGTGGGGGAGATGGTTAAGAGAACACTGATGATTGCTCTTCTGGAGGTCCTGAGTTCAATTCCCAGCAACCATACCACATGGTGGCTCACAGTCATCTACAATGACATCTACAATGAGAGGTCTGGTGAATGAGAGGTCTGGTGCTGGTGCCCTCTTCTGGTGTGCAGGCAAACATGGGGGCAGAATGTTGTATACATAATAATAATAATAATAATAATAAAGGATTGAGGTTCTCAATGGGCAGGGAGAAGGGGGTCTCAACAACTTCTTTGGGGGGTCAAATGACCCAGGGGTTACATATCAGATATCCTACATATCAGATATTTACATTATAATTCATAACAGTAGCAAAAGTACAGGAGCTACAAAATAAAATAATTTTATGGTTGGAGATCACCGCAACAGGAAGAACTGTATGAGCATTAGGAATGTTGAACACCAGAAGAGGCAGAAAGATTGTAAGAGCCAAAGGAAAAGGAAGTTTGCTATGAGATAGTGTCTCTTAGGAATGTCAGGGAAGCTACGTACATGAAGTCCCTCAAACACAGCTGCCTAAACAAGACCTGAGCAAGGAGGACACTAATATACAGGCTAGTGAGAAATGAAAAGGTTCACATGATGAGGAACTACAGGCAACTGTAGAATGCTGAGAGCAGAAAAAGTCTTCCCCAGGGAAGAGCACACCAATTGGTTACCCAACACCTGTGTAGACCTCCTTTCAGCCCATCTGGATACTCTATTCAGTACAAACACTCCACAGAAGGAACTGTGTGGCCCTTACAGCAGTTTCTTTTTCTCTATAGCTTATGTCTCCTGCAACTCTAAATATTAGCTTAAATACTAAAGTGTAACACTATCATGGACGGCTAGCAGAGTTTTTAGAGGATCCCACTCTTCGACCACTTTCAGATAGACTCAAAGGAAAATTGACAGCGGCACCCATATTCTTTTAATGTTCAAAAATTATAGCATGTCAAAACTAGAAATGAGCTCAACAACCAGAACTAAATCAATCAGTTTTTATTGTTATCATTAGTTGTTTTTATTATTGATCTCGCTGGCCTAGAGCTTGCGGTGTAAATCACGTTAGCCTGGAAACTGTCCTGTTGTAAGTTTACAGGCAAGCGCCACCGCACCCTCTCCGCTTTTTTTTTTTTAAGAGTGAAGCTAAAGAAAAGATACTATGTTTTCCGTAGTCAGTCCACTCGATGCTCATTACATTATCTGTGGAGAGGGGTGACCAAAATAAATAGCAGTCCCCCCCATTGTCCCGTCGCATGCAAGGTGCAGCGGCGGCCGCTGTCCGGCTCTGGGTCCCCGGCTCTCAGGCGCGCCGCGGGCAGCCCAGAGGGCTCGACTGCGCCTGCGCGGGGACCTTCCTCCGTCTCGGTGCGGGCGTCATGGCTGCCTCCGTGGCTCCCCGGAGTAGGGATCTGCTGTGGGCTGGCGCTGCTTGGCTGCGGCAAGGAGGCATCGGAGAGCTACTCCGGACGCGAATTGAACGGGGCACCCCGGGGCGGGACTTCAGTCTCTCTCATAACCGGGTGAGGGCCGGCCGGGCTTGGGGTCGTAGACCGGGGGGGACAGGAGGGTTCGTGCCAGGTTGAGACCGGCAAGACCGCTCCGTGGGGTGGCGGGCTTTCCCTGGATGCAGGTGGCTGTGGCGGGTGGCGGGGTGTTCTGTGACGCTCGCTCACCCCAGCTCCCCTGGCCGCCAGAGCACGGTCATCGTGGAGCGCTGGTGGAAGGTGCCCCTCGCCGGGGAGGGCCGGAAGCCGCGCCTGCACCGGCGGCACCGCGTTTATAAACTGGTGGAGGACACGAAACACCGGCCCAAAGAGCTCCTGGAGCTCATCCTCACGCAGTCTGTGGACGGTAAGGCTGACCCCCTGGGCTGCTGCTGTATAACGTTAACTTCTCCAGCTTCTCGTTTGTTTGCCTTGTTTATTTACTACTTAGTGGCACCGGTGAAAATAAAGTCACGAATCTGTGACTTAGATACTGGTCTTCACGGAAAATTAAAACGTGTGTGCAATACTGTTAACTGTGAAGAGAGAACCCAACAGTTTGCATCACAAATAATGAAATCCTTTTATTGTACAACTCAGTGTACACTAGTTTTTAAACTAGACTTGTGACGAGCGGTCCTAATAAATGTATGATGGGGGGGGCGGTGCAGAGGATGGCCAAAGGTCCACCTTATCCTCTGATACAGGGCATAAAGCTGAGCCCCAGGAATCTGCCTGTTTCCTCCCTACAGTGCTAAGGTTATGGACCATACCCAATTAGGGTCCTCTGTGCCTTATAACCTGCCCCCAGAGAACTGACATTTTTTGTTTTGGTTTGGTTTGGGTTTTGGTTTTTCGAGACAGGATTTCTCTGTATTGCTTTGGAGCCTATCCTGGAACTCGCTCTGTAGACCTCAAACTCAACAAAGATTTACCTGCCTCTACCTCCCGAAGGTCTCTTTTTTTTTTATCTCCCCCCACCCCATTGATTGATGCTGGAGGTGGACCCCCAAGGCCTGAGTATTCTAAGTCAAGGCCTTTACCAGGAGACTGTACCCCACGAGGATCTTTCTGTACAGACTCATACAGAGTTTTCATCTGTTCCTGTTCTCATTGGCAGAGATTGGAGTGAGGGGCGATCTGGTCTCAGTGAAGAAATCTGTGGGTCGAAATAAACTCCTTCCTCAGGGGCTGGCTGTGTATGCGTCCCCTGAAAATAAGAAGCTGTTTGAAGAGGAGAGATTGGTGAGCCCAAAGCATATGGTTCTTGCTGGAAGTTTGTTATTTAATTTGAAAATGGAGTAGAAATTAGAACAAGAGCCCAGAAGCCCAGCATAGTTGGACCGTTATTACTTGGTGTGGGCACATTTCTTCTCAGTTTTCTCTTTTTCAGCTGAGACAAGAAGGAAAACTGGAGAAGATCCAGACGAAGGCAGGAGAGGCGGTGAGTAGGAAGGTCACCAACCTCCTGAGAGTCTCCCTGATGTCCTTCCTCTGCTTACTGTTACAAGGATGACAAATTATTTTCTGGCTGTTGTTCCAGAAGTGCTGGGTTTCCCTGTGTGGCCCTGGCTGACCTGGAACTCATTCTGTAGACCAGGCTGGCCTCAAACTCAGATCTGCCTGCCTCCACCTCCCCAGTGCTGGGATTTAAGGAATGCTTTTTTACTTTGCTTGGGAAAATGTGTCAAATTTTTAATTTGCTAACTTCTTGCATTTGAAGTACTCAATGACATCCTTGGCCTGGGATGCTTTGCCAAAAGCGCTCTAGCTTTTGAAGGAGTCTCCATTCTGGGTTCAGGGTCTGTGAGAAAATGTAAGGTGAGGACTCTGCCTTTTGGGAGTATTTACAGACAAGGTGAAGAGTGTAGCTGCATGAGACGGTAAACAGTAAACTGAAGGCATTAAAGCAGGAAAGTGGGCCCTAGTGGGTTTGGAGTTACTAGGGGGAGGGAGACTTTTTTTTTTTTCTAGTTTTGGGCAAACTGGGAAGTATGAGTGAATATTTAAGGTATGTTGGGGGGAGGGGTTCATATAGCTCAAACTGGCCTTGAACTACGAATATAGCCAAGGCCTGCCCTGACCTAATTCTGCTTATTCAACCCTTCAGTTAGTGGGATTACAGATGTTACCACAAAGACCAGTTATGGATGCTCAAGCATATCTATCAACAGCTCTAGGGCATACTTTAAAATGAAGATAGTCCAATCTACCTAAAGTAAAGGTTTATATAATATAGTATTAGAAAATATACAGCTAGAAAGAGGGTTGGGAGAAGATGTAAAAACTGGCTTGAATCTTTAAGTGCTTTATACTTCATTTTATAAGTAGGAAAGAGCCAATGATGGAGTGTGAATAGAATTGGAATTTCATAAATGTCAGGTTAAAAAGCTATTGAGAGTCACTTCATCCTGAGATAGAGTAATAACCTTCATAGATGACCCTACACTTACTACATTTATGTATATGGGGGCAGGGCACATGTGCGGTCCAGGGGACAGCCTGCATGAGTCAGTTCTCTCCTTCCTCTGTGTGGGTCCCGGGGTCAGACTCAGGTCATCGGGCTTGGCAGCTAGTGAGCCATTTTGCCAGTCCTAATCCTGAGTTTAATACAGACTGTTTCTCTTGGTCTAAAACAGCAAGGTATAGATGAAATCCCCTGTGAAGTCTTGGAAAATATCTTTTTTTCCGTATCAGAGTTGAAAAAAGAGAATGTGCTTTTTTCCCGTTAATGTTTTGTTTTCGCCTATCTTAGCTCTTAGCTGAAGGGCAAAACTTATGCCCTTTTCCTGAACTCCCAGACCCGTGACTCTAACACCCCCCCCAATTGTTTTTAGACAGTGAAATTTCTGAGAAATTGTCATCTAGAGGTGGGAATGAAGAACAATGTCAAATGGGAGCTAAACCCTGAAATAGTTGCTCGCCACTTCTTCAAGAATGTGAGTGTTTCCTTATTGGTATCCCCCTAGGTCAGAGCTGCCCCTAGGTAGGAGATCCCAGATTGAACCCTTTACCTGCTGGAGTTGGGAGTTACTTACTCTTGGTTGGTTTGCAGGGAGAAAGGAGGAGTGTAGCTAAGACCTAAAGTAGTTGCAAACTTAAAGACTAGTAGGAAAAAGCAATTCCATTTATTCTATCTCTAGCTGGGAAGAACCTGGGGATATGTGACTTAATTGGAGAATTGTTACTTTTGGATAAAGTAGTGTTGGTCTCAAGACCTATTCTGTTTGCAAATTTACCACCTTTGCTATCACCTGTAGGCATCTGTGCCCTCCAGAAGTCAGCCAGAATCAGTTCCCCAGATGTATTCCTTCCTGTGTAGGAAGTTCCAGAGCAGAGCTGTCTTCATGAGATTACCTGGAGGCTGAAGTAGAAGGATTTATCTCAGTGGTTCTTAGCCTGTGGGTCATGACCCCCATAGGGGCCACATATAAAATAACCTGCTTATCCAATATTTACATTACAATTAACAGTAGCAAAAATACAGTTATGAAGTAGTAACAGAATAATTTTATGGTTGGGGGTCACCACACATGAGGGACTGTATTAAAGGGTCGCAGCATTAGGAAGGTTGAGAACCACTGGTTTATCTGGATGTTGGTTCTATTTTTCAGCTTGGTGTTGTGGTTGCTCCACATGCTCTGAAGTTACCAGAGGACCCTATCACTCAGTGGGGGGAGTACTGGTGTGATGTGACTGTGAGTGTTTCAAGGATTTTCTTCCTTTGCTTGGGAGAAGAGTCAACATGAGAAGCTGGATTGGGTGGTGTTGGTTCTGCCTAACTGATCTTTGTCTATTCCTGTTTTTAATGTGTGTTCAGGTAAATGGACTCGACACTATAAGGGTTCCTATGTCTGTAGTGCTCTTTCAGAAGCCCAAGACCAAAAGATACAAGCACTGGTTAGCCCAGCAAGCTGCCAAGAACATGGCCTCCACCAGCTCCCAGGCAGCCTGAATGTCCTCTGCCTCCAAGACAAGCAGTCAGAAGAGCATTGGGGCAGCTCGGGCCAGCACTTGAAGCTGTCTTAGCCCAAAGCAAGCGTGGATCATAGAGAACCTGGACTCAGACTGAACTGCGCATACATGTAAGGCTGGCTGAGTTTGTCATCTCTGCAGTCAGTGTCATCACACGCCAGCTGTATCAGAGCGTTCTACAGGCAGTAGATTTCCTACGCTGAATATCAGTGAACTGAATCAGTCTCCTTAGCCCTTCCTTCCATTGGAGAGTGCATGGGAACAAGTGAAGGGCCCAACCATGGTTCTAATAATCACTGTATTGTCATCCAGACTGTGTCCCATGCAGAAATAGCTGTTTAACTGGACTTCAGTTGACTTTGGGCATGCTATTCAGGTAAGGTGTGTTGAGCTGCAGAGTAAAGTGTTGCAGTTTGATGTGTCCATGGTTGCCATGAGCAGACTGCTGTAATGTAGCCAATTATGTCTGCTCTTAAAACTTTCTTTATCTCCATGTGAGTGATGCTGCGGGTTCCATTAAGCTCTGAATAAGGAGAGGGAGAAAGTGACTCCAGGTCGCAGGTGGTCACACTTTGCAGCCTCTCCAATTAAAGGAGCCAATTCCTACACAGCCGGTGCCTATATGTGTGGTTTCTTTTTTTTTCTGAGACAGGGTTTCTCTGTATAGGCTTAGCTGTCCTGAAACTTGTTCTGTAGACCAGAAGACTGGTCTTGAACTCAGAGATCCACCTGCATCCTGAATGCTGGAATTAAAGGCTGGGCCACCACCACCTGGCTTGTATGTGCAGTTTCTAAACCAACAAACCCGACCATGTGTAGATGGCACATTTGAGGTGGGGGTTGGGGGAACACTAGAAATTTTCCGGAAAAAAAGAAAACATTGAATTTGCATGCAGCAAGCTCTATATTAAATCTCTACAAATGAAGTGATCTGTGGTTCTCCCTGAGGTGATCTTTGGTGAGCTCTGCTGCTGTCTCTACCTTCTGACAGATTTTTCTCCAGCTCTCCAGTTACTGTGTTTCTTCCATACGGATTCATATGTACTGAATATATACTATATGGGCCATCTTCCATGATACAAGACTTAATATACTGACAAGGGTCCTGCTTGGTGTTATTTTCTATAGGATAGCTCTGAGAAGCTTGAGGAAAGCCAGGCTTCCCATTAAATGACAGAAATGATAGGACTTCTGTGGCAGTATGTGGTGGAAGAGGTGTGGAAGTGGCTCCAAAGAAGTGGGCAGGTTGTGATGGATGCCTGTAAGCCAGGCACTCAGGGGACCAGGGCAGGAGGGTTGGAAGTTTAAAGATAGCCTGGGCTACGTATTGAGACCCAGTCTCAAAAAAAAACAAACAAAAAAAAAAAAAAAAAAAGAAAGAAAGAAAAAGAAAAGGGGGAAGGGTTGGACATGGTGTTCCATGCCTTTAATTATAACGCGCAGGAGGCAGGCAGATCTCAGCTGGATCTCTAACTTTGAGGCCAGCCTGATCTACAAAATGAGTTCTGAGATAAGCCAGGACTACACAGAGATACCATGTCTCAACAAATAAATAAATGTATGTAGGCAATGTTTACTAGTTAGCTTTAATTGCCAAATTAATACAGCCTAGAATCATCTGAGAAGAGAGTCTCACTTGAGGGAGTGCCTAGATAAAATTGGCCTGTGGGGATTGTCATGATTGTTAATGGATGCAGAAGGACCTAGCCCACTATGGGCAGTGCCATTCCTGAGCAGGTGGTCTGGGCTGGGTAGAAAAACTGTCTAAACACAAACCTGTAAATTCCCATGGCTTGTTGCCCACCAGTCTAGCTGACATGGTAAATCCTAGATTGAGTCAGAAACCTTGATCAACAAATAAAATGGAACGTAAAAGAGGAAAAGAACCACATTGATCTGTAACTTCACACGCGCGCAGGCACATGTACCCACATGCACATGTACACACACACACACACACAAAGGAAAACTGCTGTGGAATAATCCTTTTGTACACTGTGAGGATGTTTTGCCCTCGTTGGTTTAATAAAGTCCTAACTGGTCAGTATCTAGGAGGGAGAGCCAGACTGAGACCGATAGGAAGGACAGTCACCAGCCAGATGCAGAGGAAATACGATGCGTAGAATGAGGTAACAAGCCATGACAGCACATAAAATTAATATGGGTTAAATTTAAGTTGTAAGAGCTAGTTAGTAACTAACCTAAGCCATTGGCCAAGCATCTATAATTAATAATAAGTCTTTGTATGGTTATTTGGGAGCTGGCTGGCAATACAGAAAGGTCTGACTACAGAAAACTATAGAAGTTTGGTCAGAGGTCTCAAAGACCTAAATGAAGAGACATTTTTCCATATTGGTATAGATGTCTCTGGGATTCTCTAATGGAACGTGATCACTTGGTGACATAGCATGCTCTTCTACTTCCCTTCCTGTTGATGACCAAAGGCAACATAGGGGAGGAAATGATTTACGCGGCTTGCACTCCAGGTAACAGTCCATTGAGAGATGTCAGGGAATAACTCAAGCAGAAACCATGGAAGAAGGCTCTTTGCTGGCTCCCTCAATCCTGTGTCCTCAGCATCCCGACCCAACCATTCTCTCCCATCCCCAGCCTAGATATGGCTCATGCTGGCTAAGCTCTCTAGTAGCTCTAAGAGGCCTTCAATCAATCAATAGCTCTCTCCTCTTCCTCTATCCCCCCCCCCCCAGTATTTTGAGACAGGGTCTCTTTGTAATGCCCTGGCTGTCCTGGACTCTGCCTGTAGACCAGGCTGACCTTGAACTCACAGATCTGCCTGCCTCTGCCTCCCAAGTGCTGGGATTAAAGGCATGTGCTACCACACCAACCCAGATGAGGTCCTCTTTTCTCTTAGGGGGCTCATAACTGGGTTTTGTTTACTTGGGGTCTGGTTTTTAAATTTTTAGTACATTTATTTATTCTCTTTGTGAGAGACAGCATTGGAGCACATTTGCAAATGTCAGGAAAAACTAGGAGTCATTTCTCTCCATGTGGATCCCCGGTATCCAACTCAGGTGATCAGCTGTCAGTGAATGCTTTATCCACTGGGCCAGGCACAGGCAGGCCCCAGCATCCCATACTAGCTTGTAACTCATAGCCAAGGGTGACCTTGAGCTTCTTTGGATCCTGATCCTCTTGACTCCACTTCCTGAAGTTTCCGCACCACCTGGTTTGGTTAGCTGGGTTTTGATGAAACATAATCCTAATTACTGCTTGGAGGTCACGGATGAAGGTGAGATAAATTTAAAAAGAAGCTTGTGAGGTAATGGGGAGACAGCTCAGTCAGGAAAGCACAGTGAAGTCGCTGCAAGCATGAGGACCTGAGTTTGGATCCCAGCACCCAGGTAAAAGCCAGGCATGTAAGGTGGAGAAGCAATTGTGGAAGACAACTGTTGATACCCTCTGGCTTCCATAGACATGAGCACACATGTATCCACAAGCATGTATATACCCACACTAAAAAAGGGACGGAGGAAAGGCTATCTTGCCAGAAAGCAATGGTACTGTGAACAAGAAGTAGTGCCTTTGCAGGCCCAAAGGATGAAAGAGACTGATGGAAAGCATCATCGAGTTCTGGGCTTTATGCTCAGTGTTTTGTGCCCTATGGATGCAGGCCTGAGTGCCTTTGTAAAGCTGGGGGTGGAGTTCCACACAGAGCCCAGTTTTGCAGACTTGGCTTGTAACTTGAGGACCTCAGACACTTAGCTCTTAATGGGTGATCAATCACCCTTAGTTTTACTGTCTTTCTCCAGTGTATTGCTTACCTCCAGCCATATCCTTTATGAAACCTGATACATTTCTCAAACCTGACCTATTTCCAGTAGCATCTACTTTCCCAGGCACCCTTCCCCCCTCACCAGTGAAGCTGTACAATTAAAGTGATTGGCATTCACTAGTTCTGCTTCCCTCGAAGGGGGATCCTGGCTGATGGTGAGTCTACAGGTGATTCTGCTTTTTAAATCCCACTTTAAATCTGTTCCCCCAGAACTTTTTGTTTATTTTGTTTTTTGAGAAAGGGTTTCGCTGTGTCAACAGCCCTGGCTGTCCTGGAACTCAGTGAAATCTGCCTGCCTCTGCCTCCCAAGTGTTGGGGTCAAAGGCATGTACCACCACAGCCCAGCTTTTTTTGAAGATCAATTTATGTCTATGGGTGTTTTGTCTGCATGCCTTTCTGTATACCACATGCATGACTACCTAGTCCAAGATAGGACATCAGATCCCCTGGAAATGGAGTTACAGGTGGTTGTGAGTTCCCATGTAGTTGCTGGGCAGTCCTGGAAAGGGCTCAACCAGGAATAGTCAATGGCACTTAGAGTTAGCACCTGGGTAAGTAGTGGGGTTAGGTTCTACAAGGATACCTCAGCCTCCACGCCAGAGCCTCAGAACAGAAGAGGGGTATTTTCTCACCCTAACTAGCTCAGAGACACCAGCTGAAGGGAAGTGCCTCTCCTGATAACATCAGGTGGGTCCTGTTGAGTGCACCGAGAGTGTTGTGTTTTATTGTGAAACTGCCTTTATCTGTCTTCACTCACTGGACTGAATTCCTTGAGGGTAGGGCGTGCCCAAGATTGTCTCGGGAACATGATAAGTCCTGGTACTCTGTAAATGAATAATATATGAAGGGGAAATCAACCCTGCAGGCTTTCCCCTTGGCTATATTAAGAAGCAAGCACTGGGGCTAGAGGGATCGCATTGCTTAAGAGCACTTGCTGTTCTTGCTGAGAAACCAGGTTCAATTCCCAGTACCCCAGGACCAGCTCACAACTAAACTGTCTATGGCTCCTAATTCCAGGACATCTGGTGCCCTCTTCTGGCCTCTTCAGTACCTGGCACACGCCTGGTGAACATACACACATACATGCCAAACACTCAGGGACATAAAGTCAGAGCAAGCCTCTTTTTTTAGGGGAAGGGGAAGGAAGCACCCAGGTACTGGGTGAGGCAGCACTGCCAGCAAGTGAACCCTGGGACTCTGGTATTTCCAGAGAATTTCTACTTCAGAAATCTGAAAATGGGGAGTTGGGGAGATGGCTCAGGGTTTTAAGAACATTGGCTGCTCTCACAGAAGGGCTTGAGTTGCGATCCCAGCACCCACGTGGCAGCTCATAGCTACCTGAAACTCCAACTCCAGGAGACGTCACACAAAAATAGATTTTCCCCCAGATGGGTTTCTCTGAGTAGCTTTGACCTCGAACTCACAGAGATCCGCCTACCCCTGCCTACCAGGTGCTAAGGTTAAAGGCATGTGCCACCACTCTGCAACTAAAAAGAAAATAATTTTATTTTTGTTTGTTTTTTTGAGACAGGGTTTCTCTGTGTTCCTTTGGAACCTGTGCTGGTGCTCGTTCTGTAGACGAGGCTGGCTTTGATCTTAGAGATCCACCTGCCTCTGCCTCCTGAGTGTTGGGACTAAAGGCGTGTGCCACCAATGCCTGTCTTTAAAAAAAAAAAAAACAAGAAATCCGAAGATGAGCATGATGGCACATGCCTTTGATCCCAGCACACAGAAGACAAAGGCAGGCAGATCTCTGAATTCAAAGCCAGTCTGGTCTACATAGGGAGTTCTAGGACAGCCAGGGTTACACAGAGACATCTTGTGTCAAAAAAGATTTTTAGACATAAATATGAAAATGTGTTTTTATTCCGCTCTCAGCCCTAGTTCCTCTGCTAGCTCTTGACTTTTGTTCTAGAATGATCCTGGTTTCATAGCAATGCCCACACGAGGGCAGTAGAAGCCAGAGCATCAAGACTA